CTGCTTTTCCTGACACATGCATAGAGCAGAAAAACACTGAGGTCTTGACCGCCAGAGTGTAAGGCACTGAATAATAAACCAAATTTAATGGCTAAATGCTGTGGTTTAGTATATGTGGAGACGCAGCACTGAGCTCACAGATAAGAGGCAGCTCAGAGAAGGAAAGTGTTTAGTGTCGTAAATCTGGAAGTGTGTTTTTATGAGTTGCAGTAGTCGTTAGAGTGAGCCCAGTCTCACTTCATTTCTAATACAGGGTACAAACACATGGTTTCTGCACAGTGTTCATGATCATTTCAGGACAAAGCATCTGCTTTCATGGAATAGGCACAAACATGGTTATAATAGAGCTCAGCAGGTATGAAACTGTTTTGACCTTTTGCCTTGCCCTTAAGCCATCCCTCTTAATCCCAAATCTGCATTGAAAATTAATGGGTATAAACTCCCTTATCCCCTCGCAGTTTATGAAACGACAGCTTCTAAGCACAGAAAGAATGAGCCTCATGGTTTAAACCTGCAGTTTTTCAAGATCCTCCATGATACAGAGCCAGTTATTGTAACTTTATCTTCTGGGATGTATTTTAATGTTTGTTTACGTTTGTCACAGAGGACAAAAACATTTAACCATGCATGTTACCCCCTGTGTCTATCAGATTTTGATCAAATATGCAAAATGGCATTAAAAAGCAACAAACAAGTTTTTGAACCAGCATTTGATGTTTTGAATTCCTCTCAGTATAATTTGTCAAGAATTGTTTTTGCAGGTATGAATGCAAGACCAAGTAAAGGTTCAGTAAAAAAACACATGCTGTGCTGGTTTTAGTGTTCTCCAGCATGTCTAAAAGCATATATAAATATTCTAATTTGGCACGGTTTATTAAAACACACCAGACCAACTCTTTCTATTGGCCATAAGCATGGTATATTAAAAAGCATTCAGTATACAAATGTCCCTAGAGATCACATGCTCTGAGGTAATTGCTCTTTTCAGGAAGGAAATGTTTGGAAAATACCCATATAAGTTGAAATTATCTGGGGATCCTGGCAAGTAAAGTGATTTAATTTATGTAATATAAACCCATCAATATTCCATGAAGTCCAGTGCATACAAGAGGAGAGCATAGTAACTGTTTATATTCCCAGACACTGAAGGGAGAAAAGCACTTCACAATTCATGACTTGTGAAAATGAAACTTGATCCTAGGTTAAAATGGGGATCATTGCCTGCCTGAAATGACATTACTTTTGAAAATTTTATTAATTTTAAGCTTTTTATGGTGTACACATTTTAAAAAAACCTATCTGTGGAAAAACTTTCACTGGTATAGGTTTAAATTTGTAATTGAGATTTAGGGTATAGCATTCACAAAGTAATTTTTTTCTGTCTGATAAAATAAGTTATAATTCATGCGCTTATCATAGATAAACCCAAACAATTTTTAAGTGAACTTAAAATTCTCCGAATGCAATCTGTACAGTTTGTTGAAATACAAAATAAAAATTGTCCTGAAAAAAAATCTAATCCACCAGAGAGAGCAGAGAGAAGCAGTTTTGAGGATAAAATTGACTCTTGGCATCTACAGGCTAAAAATTAAGTGACAGAAAAAGCCATTTTGTGTCATGAATCACATAATGCAGGTGCTTGTTCTTTAAGATCCTTTTATCTTTAAATGTTTTTAATGACGCACTTTTCGGGGGTAGACATCTGCCTTGATATCTTTATTTTGATGTGACATCATGATAATATTTGATTTCTGTCAACATGATTGCAAGAAAAGAGAGCCTAAAATGTAAATCTTTCTCACTCTGAAGTTTCGTATATTCATGTTTCTGTTCACATATTCACTTATTTTACAGGTCACACAGATAACACAGATGCTGAAGATGGATGAGATTAATTGTAGATACAAAAACAAGTTTATTAGGAAATGTACATTGCTTATAGGATGAAATTATAAAAAGTATAAGTATAAGCACAGAGTACACAGAATGTAGCAGAAGAGTGTTAAGTCACTGGCTGAGTATAAAAGCTGGGACTGAACAGATTTGTGTATTTGTGTGTGAAAAGTATGTTGCAGAGAGTAGTCAGTGATGACCCATCGGTGATGTGAAATACAATGATCAGTGAACTGGAATATGATTTTAGAATATGTTCATTCAATTAATTTAAATTTTAGTTGGGTCTTATCGAGCTTCAAACAAGATTTGATGAAAGGTTGACCTTGGCGTTGCAGTTTTTTTTCTTTTTTTATTTATACAACAGTTGTTATCAATAAGAAGTGCTAGAAGATAGCCAGTCCCAAAGTCTTGTGCTAAAGTTTCAGGACTGATCTAAAACGGTACTTTGTTCTTTGAGTAGTCTGATAAAAAAAAAATTCGGAAAGAAACAGTGTTGAGTTAGCCAGTGCTTTTGAGAATTTTAAATACATTGATCAGGTCTCCTTGTGGCCTTTTCCTTTTGTATTAGGTGACCAAAATTGAACACAGTATTCTAATACTGTATAGATAAATTAAAGTATATATCCTTACATTGGCTGCTTTTTGTATTGTTTCTGCACTTTGTCTTAATTAGAAAATTATGTGAACATAACTTCCTGAGCTGTTTTCATTGGTAATATCTTCAAGCTAATTGTTTTCTTTTCATATCTATAGTTTGTTTTGCTGCCTGCATGCAATACTCTGCATTTTTCTATTTTAAATATGATTGCACTAGATATTTGCCCAGTTTTGGAGTTTTTTTAACTTTTCTTGAAATTTCTTTTGTAGCTTTTTCAATGTTTGACAATCCCCCTATCTTGGTTTAATCTACAAACTTAGAATGCTAACCATATGAGATTTTAGGTCATTGATTTAAATTGTGGAATTGTCAATACAGATACCTTTTGTGCTCTAATAAATGCAACATCCCCATTTTGAGTATTCACCCCCTATCTGTATTCTCAGTTTTCTAGCCATTAACCACTCCTTTATCCAAACGATGAATTAATCTTTTGAGGAACGTTAGTCTTCTGCAACTTTACCATGTCCTCTGTGTATAATTGCCGATGTTAAGTTGCTTCTTCAAAAGGAAACTTTAGCAAGACCCGTACATTATAAATACAGACCTAAATATCCCCTGAACGTACTTTGAAGATTAAACAAGAAAAAGGGTAGTAAGGGGAAGTCCATTTTAGGATAAAGACCTACAAAAATGTATTCCATATTGTGCTCTACAGTACATATATTTATTTCCCTTTATGTCCCATGAATTCCACTGCAGATTTATTGGAAATCTAATTTGCAAGGAGGACAGATGAGCACTAGATAAAATGGCTGAGTGTAAAGGCATCTCTAAAATTAAGAGATCACAAAATTAATTGGTTTTCTTTCGAATCCATCACAGTTCAGCTAATGAGGGCCTTTATTTAGTAGGTCTCCTGGCAAGATGATGGGAACTGTCTGGCAAAGCAATACTGTTTCTTCAAGATGGTGTTGTAGGAAAAATGACATAAATAAACAATGCAATCTGACATGCAATTCATGCTGTTATTACCTGGCATAATGCCCAACAACAGAGCTAGATTTCCATTTGTTTTGGTGACTGAAAACCCTTACAGCAGAGTGAAAGCCCATGTTATCAGGTTATCAAAAGATATCATTTGCAATAGCGATTTGTTTAGCAAGATTTCCACTGTAGCAAAAACATTTCTAACATTAGCAAGAAATAACTAAAATGCCTCTTGGATGTTTCTTTGTATAGAATACAAAAGCCTGAAAGATGGCTTACTTCACATTGGGATGAGACTTTTTTTACCTAAAGCCCAATATGTTTTCTTTCCTAGGAAGTCTCCTGCCAGCTCCATTTGTTATGTCTGCAGTCTAAATAAAATTGTTGGTGAAATAGGTGTTAACATAGAATTGATTTGCCTTTATGTTCTGATGCTATCCCTGAAACTGTCACTGTAAGGCTGTCTCTGTCCTTCAGCAGATCTGCACAACAAAAGTCCAAGCACAGTTGATCTAATGTGACAAGATAATAGTATAACTGATAAACTCTTAACAGAAACCGATTGTAAGACAGGACAGGGATTAAATGGTCTTTGTGTTACTTTATGATGAATCAAAGTAGCAGCAACATGTTGCAGCCCATGCAAAAACACTGAGCCACACATGTAGCAACACAGAGCAACACTCATAGGATACCAAGCAGAATCCACAACATGGACCAGAGGAACTACAAGTCATGTTTCATTGGTTTCAGAACGGTTTTTGTTTTTATCTTTGGTTGTGTGCTTCTGTGCATACTACAGAATAATATAGTATAGAAATTCTTATTTATGCATAACATCTCTTAGTTTTGTACTGTATATCTGTCAAAAGTCTTCTTTTTATACACAAATCAGATTCTATATTTTATTTAGCATTTGTCAGGCCTTTTCTAGTGGTTACCATGGTATTAATGCTAAGGTCTGACAATACTTTGGCATCTGTCCAATAGTGTATTGCTTTAGGATTAATCATGCTGGTTTGCACAGGGTTTATAATGGTCCTGTCAGATTTGTGAAACTAAAATGAAGGGTGGGTCTTGTCAGCATTGGTCTTGGTACTGAGACCTCTGTAACCTCCTTTCCCTAGTCTCTTGAAGCATAATAAATCTGTATAACTTTAATGTGTCATATCCACTGTGTAACTTTGGAAACATTTTTGCTACCTGAATAATCCAGTTCAACAGATAAGATCACACCCTGCAATAGAGAATTTGGTTGCAGACTTCTCCCTCTTGTGGTGTGTAATAGGCAGATCAAATCAGGAAGTCCTGTTGAAGGTTTTATGAGGTATAGTGCCAAAGGCTTGAGTCCCTTTTTTCCAGCAGTGGTTAGAATCCATGTCTAAAGTAACAGGAGGCACAAGACTAAATACTAAATCTCCTGAAATTCCCTCATTCTCATCTTTATGCACAGTTTCAGTTTCACAGTGACCAAATGTGTTCATATTTGCCTTGTGTTCTTTTTCATTTCACATAGGCAAACCCAGAGGCTTGCAGTGGGTTATTGACATCACCATCGCCTACCCCAAAGCCAAGCCAATAGATATCCAGACATGGATTCTTGGTTACAGACCGCCAGTAGTTACACATGTGCATTACAGGTAAGGCAGATCGGCAAGATTGCGTGCAGTCTTCTTCACTGTTTAGGGGTGGCAGAAAAAAAAAAGGAAAAAGACCTTTAGCAGTTCCAGTGTATATATGTGTTTCATGTTTTTTATTATTCTGAGATGAATAGCTCAGAAAATAGCTCGAATGCTATATATATATACACATCCCAGAAAATAGCAAAATGCTGTGTGTATATTCTGTATGATGTATCCCGTGATGTCTGCTGTTGGACAAATTAGCACACTTGCTATTGAGTAATTTCTAGTTTGATGTTCTCTATCCAGTCTGACTCCTAAGCATATGTATTTCATCTTAATGTTTTTTGTTTTTGCAAATATGGAATATGTCAATGTTTGTTTCGGGGTTCTTTCAACACTGTGAGATTTTATGGATTGTATTGTTTTATACTCTGAGTGACTATCTGAAAATCAACTTAATTTAAATTCCATTTATTCTCGTAATATCCCCTGAACCTCCTGAAAGCAGACTCGGAAGGAATAGCTAATATTCCGTCCCCACTGTAAAAACTGCCCATGCCTGTGATGACAGCAGAGAAACCAAGCGGTGTTGCATGAAGAAGCCTGTAGGAATTTGAACCCACTTGATGTAGACGCATATCTTGAGATTCCAAGTGACATTTGTTGTCAGGCTGCTTGTAATTTCACATCCCACTGGTTTTATGAATAACTTTCTGAAGATTCCAAGCCACACACCTGCAGCATCACTGTGTCATCTTTTAATAAAGCATTAATGAACATTTGGCTCAGTAATTCAGAATCCTTGAAAACATTTTTGTGTTATTGGAAGATGACAAGTAATTGTGCCTTGACAAGAGCTAAGCTTTCTAATTACATTCACAAAAGAAGCTCAACAGCACTCAGGGAGTGTTAAAGCATAAGCATTTTATTTCATGGCTGTGCCAATGCGTTTGGCCATTGCCTTCATCAGAATAATGCAGATCTTTCTTTCAGGATACTCCTGATTTGCTACTCGGCTTTTTTTGTGCAGGCTAGTTTTCGACTTCATGCATTTCAGAGATGTTGTGAAGCTGCTTTGCCTTTTCTTTTGCTTTGGAAGCCTTTAAAGTAAAAAAAAACTGTATTGCAACTTTTTTGTTGTGTACTGTATAGTTATGAAGCAGTGTAATCGTAGTGTACAGTAGTAGCCAAGTACAGTTTTGTGATTGTTCGAAATTGTTGATATTAAGCAGGCTTATCAGCAGTAACAGCCAACTGTTGATATGACATTTCTGATTTCCATCAAGCTTGGTTATAAACAGAAATAGCTGTGAAGTGCTATTTCTGTTTTTTAACACGTACAAAGGATTTTGTTAACATGTGCAAGTCTCCAGAAACACCTTTTATAGATTGGTTTTGCATATTCTCCTGCTAATGTACAGTGTGGTTACTAGTATATATCACAAGTAAATTACATTTTTCTTCATCTGGGAGTTATCGTTAAGCTCACCTAGATGGTTGTCCTTGCATTATAAATGGTTTGTCTGGCTGTCTCATATGTCAGGCATTTGTTTTAAGAAAACCTAGTGTTTATTCCTTCTGTTTGGTGGAATTTGCACCAAGTCTGAACTCTCAGACATGTAGCATTGTAGAATGATGGTGGCCTATATTATGTTACTACCTACTACAGCATTCCATATGTTGTTGAATAGCAGTTTTCAATATGTTTACGTACTGAAAACAGTACAGTACAATATGTTGTTTTTTTATTGTTTTACCGGGATTACTGATCTTATTAAGGGAACCTTATTAAATTTAGGGTCCAATTCACCTTCTGACATGTAGAGAATCATCATAGTGGAGTCTTTCCGGACCCTATTTTTTCCCTTGCCTTTAAAGAATTAAGGCTAAAGACTCATTAAGATTGTAATTAAGCTTCGAGAGATCTGCGTCCGTTATGTCACACCTCTAAATTTTCTTCTTGAGTGCAACTCTCAAGGGCCTGATTCATTCCAAGGCTTCCTCGGTCTCATTGCTTATGATGAGCAGGCTAGAGCAAAGGGATGTAATGCTTCTATTTAATTATATTTGATATATTAATACGTTATAAAAATGCAATCTGCTAGCTAGCAAGAAAAAAAAACATTCTTCTGACTACTCATTGCTATGTTTGTTCAAACACATATCAATTTACTCCAAAGCATATAGAACTGTTTCCTTTTTCTTGCACAAGCTGGAAACGGAAGCATTTTGTTTGTTATAGTTACCCAATGCACAATTATGACATACTGTATGTTTTGATATGTCTGGGTAAGCTACCCAGTTTCTAATTACCCAGAGATGATGGTTTTTATTTGTTTTCTGAGATGTTTCACAAATAAAAGCTCTGATCATAAGAACAAAAAAATGCAAAGAACACGTATAAACCTAAAGCAGAAGAAAGTTGCTTCCACTTTTCTGTAGAAGTGAACAAACATGAAGTAACATTTTCCTGAGTTAAAATAAGTACCTTGTGTGACAGACCTTGCAGCTACATTATCACACTGTTGTCAACACACTAAAAGCCTCAGGACATATACTGTCTATGGTATTTTCTATACAGCCATTTGAATATCATGTAATTTGGATCAACGGTGTTGAAAGAATATTTCTTCATAATATTCACCATTCACTAGCATTTTCACCAATAAATTTTAAAAACCACAAATAATAAACTTTATTTTATAAAGCGCCTTTAAAGGTGGCTTCTCAAAGCGCTTTACAGGATGACAATAACAATAAATAAGAAGAATACAACAATAAATAAGAAGAATACACAAGATAAGACACAATTACAATTACAACAATACAACAATAACAATAGAGGAGACCGTGGAAGATGCTACTAAGAAGAGCAGAGGGGTGAAGAATGGAACCAGTTAAGTAAAGGCTTTTTTGAAGAAGAGGATTTTGAGTCTGGATTTGAAGGAGTTTAGAGAAGGTGACTCTCTGATATCCTTGGGCAAAGACTTCCAGAGCTTGGGGGCATAGCAGGAGAAGGCTCTGTCACCCATACAATGTAGATGGGCTTGGGGGACAGTAAGGAGGGCAGAATTTGAAGAGCGGAGGTTGCGAGGTGGGGAGTTGGGCGATAATAGTTCAGACAGGTATTGAGGTGCAAAAAAAATCATTTCTGTAGATTAAGATCTGGCCTACCCTTGGCTCTAAAGCACAGTATACAGCACTAAAGTTATAATTGTGTGGCATAGTTTATGTAACATTTTACTTTCTGCAGAACTTTATTTTGTGTTGAGGTGAAATAAACCAATTTAGCGTCTTTTTAAAATTCTTTTCAAAACTGCTCACCTCCATATGCCAAGTGTATAAATTTCAGCTGAGTTACTGTGGGGACATTTCTGACAGAGCATTTGCTACAGAATGTGGCATTTTAACCACCAGAATTAAGTCACAACCTAACCCGAGTAATCAAGTCTTAACTGCTATATCTAAAAAGTTAAACCCTGCTTATTAAAGACCTATTTGCTATCTCAAGGCTACCTTACAAACAGACCCCCCCCAAAAAAAAACAGAGGGATAAAAATAAAATGAATATTGTCTCAGCTTTTTGATTTCCAAGGTTACTTATGCAGTCTGTATTTCTCTTAAAAACAGTTTGGCTATTTTGAAATATTCAAACTACTCTTAGTAGTTTCATTTGGAGTTGTGAAGTAGCCAAGACTCTTTCTGTCACAATACTTCTGGTCTCCAACACCTCCTTGTCCAGACAAGAGTGAGCACAGTACAGATGATGAGTCATATACCACTACTTTGGAAGAAATCTTCCAAGGTATACTTGAACAGACTCATTTTTAAGCTTACAAACTAAATAAAACAGGCTTTCAGAACCTGGATAAAGTACTAGAGCAAAATGTGAGATGAATGCAAACAAGAAAAACCTGCATATTAGTAATGCTGATGTAATTCAGCAGGCTTACATAGAGACGTAGGTGTTCTTTGGAAATAAAAACATGCACAAATAGGTCCTGTAAAGTAATTTAAACTGTAGCAAAGTGTTCAGAGGAGTTTGTTGGAATCTGAAAAAAAGCAGATAAAGAATGATTTGTGTCAAAACCAGTTTCAATGCTCTTCCACAAAGCCATTTTCCCTATGAGGCAACTCAAGAGATAAAGGAGACCAGTTCATGAATGGAATCAATAATGCAAGCAAGACAGTGGGCCACACTGAAGAAACATCCTCCCATTTTCTAACTGCTTCATCCAATTTGGAAAGCCTTTCCCAGCAAGCAACGGGCACAAATAACCCAGAGCCCTAGTATTGCAAGAGAGCAATGCTAACCACTGTGCCACCATCCCACCCCTAAAGAAGCATATTTCAACCAATTTTATAAATATTTAACAGCAAGCATCCTTGGATGAGGTGCCCTGTTCTTCTCTATTAAGATGCTGTGTGTATTGACTGTGGTAAAAACTTTGCCTTTGTTACAAAGATGAATAGATAAATAAAGATAATGTCTTGAGTAAACCAGATACTGAAATTAAACAGAACACATGAAAGCCGAGCTGCCGACTTTATTTAAAAAGACTGTTCCTTATTTAGAAATGAGTTCAATTAAATAATGGCTGAGTGCGTGGTTTACTTTGACAGTTGATCCTGATAAGGTTTAGTGAGGAGCCCAGTTGTAATTATGTAAGGGCACTGTGTTTGTGTTAAGTGTCTTTGAAGAAGAGTGCGATCTGGTGTTCTAGTGCTGCTTGCATTTGAGGCTTGTCACTGGCAGGAGTGTTCTTCCAGGAAATGAGGGTAATCCAGTATTCATTAATACGTAATGTAATGCAGCTAGCATATGATATGATGTGTGTAACTTACAGAATTCAGCTTGCTGCTGTGTACAGTATGTGAGATACAGACCATCTGCTCCATCCATTGATCTTGCTTGTGAAATTCCAGTTTTAATTTAGATTACTTAATAACCCTACGTTCCGTCCATCTCTTTTAACAGGACCACATGATATTTTTAGAACTCTCTCAAAAACAAG